AAAAAAAAAAAAAAAAAAAAAAAAGTGACGAATAGAGAAAAATTTACGGTAGCCATCGCCACGTAAACAACTTACCATATTATCACACTTTCCCACAATGCTGTTAAAAATGAAAATAAAAAATAAAAAAATAAAAAAATAAAAAAATTCCCCACATGACTGGTTTAAAAAGAATACTACATCCAACACCACAACGAATACTTATCTCACGATTTAACCAACATCATACTTCTCCCCCTTCTCCTCCTTCCGTTTTTTTTTTGTTTTTTTTTTTGTTTTTAAACAATCACCATCATCACCCAAAAAATCCACTGCCGATTTTTTTTTATTTTTTTTTTTATTATCACAATCATCACCTACTCAAGCACCTGACGCTTGGTATCCTCCTCCTCCTCCTCATTGTCACCATCCTCTAATTCAGCATCATGAACATCATCATATTTCTATTGTTCTAAAATGAAATTTCTCTTTTTCCTGAAATAAAGAATTAATTTCAATTAAAAGAAATGCATGTCATCATCCTCATCTTCATCCTCATCCACGTCGCTATGTTTACCTTTGCCGCCAATTTTTATTTTTTTTTTTATTTTTTTTTATCAGTATTGTCGCCATTGACGTCAGCACAAAATGTACTCCTGTTGATGGGCCATTGACATCGTATGCTCTGAATGTTTCTTGTTTTGTTTTTCATCATCAGTATTATCGCCATCGACATCGTATGCTCTGACTGTCCGTTTTCTTTCCTCCCTCCCTTAACAGTCTCCGTTACTTGCCGTTACTTACCGTGAACCCAAGTAACGCCAGCAATTGTATAGCCTTAAAATAACTTTTTTCGATTTTTTTTCGCTTTCTTTTTTTTTTGTGTGTTTCCAATTAGATAGTTTAATTAGATTTCAAGTTTTCAGCTCTATTTCAGTGGTTGTTGATTTCTATTTTTTTCTACAAGGGACGGGGTCCGCCGGGGGTGAAAGGCTAGAGGCCTTGCAACCCCTGAATTTCTTCTTCTTCTTCTTCTTCTTCTTCTTCTTCTTCTTCTTCTTCTCTTCTTCTTCTTCTTCTTCTTCTTTCTTTTTTTTCTTTTTTTTTTTTTTTTTGGCTTCTTCTTCTTTCCCCATTCCTCAGATTTACCGACTTGTACGTACTGCTTTCGTCACTGGA